TTTTTAACCTAATTAAAAAGATCGGCTGGGTTCCTCCGAGCTTTCGTAGTCACTTCGCGACTAAACGATTACAGTAGTTCAGTCTTTGTCCGGGTTTTATGTAGGCGTCCAACCCTCTCTGCTGATTGGGGCACTTACAGTAGATAGATGACCGTGTGGGCTGATGATAGCAGAGATCCGTGTGATGTTAGTGTAGAGTTGTAGGAAGTAGTAGGAACAATTAGTGGTAGAAGAAGGGCGAGACTATGTGCCGACACCGAGGAGACGCGAGCAGCCAGTGTCGCGAATAGCTATCGATGGTTTCTTCATCCAATTGTTGTAGTCGGTTCCTCCGAGCGTTGTGCAGCTCGCACAGAGCACAGTAGTCGTACCACACCCTTGCTCTTCGCTGCTGCGTCGATATTAGCCCAAAACTCTTCCTGACTCTGATCTTCTCTACGGGGCAAAGAGAATGTTGATGAGTCGAGTACGTGCGGTTGATCGGTATCTCGTTATGGTAGGTATTGTGTGTAGGGGGTGGTGGGTTGCTATCAGTATAGTTAGACGACAAATTAGAGAAATGTATACTTTTAAATAATTAGAAACAAATACTATCATTAAAATAACTTTTTATACCAAACTTGGTACCATGTGGAGGAAACAGGTGAATTACAGCATAGGGTGCGTCCTTACCTTTTGCTCTTGAATCATTCTGTCTTTCTTTTCTCTGTGGATAATACACAAGCACAGGTTAGGCAAGGCAAGTCACTTTTTATTAAAGTGGACCTATCATGCTATATTTGAATAATATATTGTAGGGCCATACCTATATAAAACATGTCTGTGAATTTTTTTTTTTTAAATACCAAACAGATCATGCATTTTAGCCATGCCTCATTTCACTCTATTTGCTCTATTCCAGCCCTGTCTTCACAATGGCTGATTCTGTGGCAAATGAGCTGCAGCTGACCCCGCCCCCCTGCAAAGGAAGGGGGCGAGGCACGAGCCTCATCTTACCATGCTGTTATCATGCTGTTACCATGCCACGCAACCTCTCATTCCCCTGATAGGTGGAGAGTTGCCCATATATGCGCAGCACCCCGTTTCTGACGTCAGAAAGTTCAAATCTGGATCAGTTTTTATCAGATCCGTTGCAGCCCCGTTTTTAGAGATTTGGGTATGGAGGAAAAGAGAGAGGGTTGTGTTTTCTGACACACAAACCGGGGACACACATTCATGTATAAAAGACGTACAAAAGTGCATTTTGCATGATAGGTCCCCTTTAAACAACTTCTAACGTGCTCACAACTACCAAACATTCAATCATTTTCAGGATGTTAACCCTTTAAATGCCTGTTTAATTATTTGCATTATATTTTCCATATAACAATTAGTAGGGGGGTGGGGATTTGGTGGTTATTTAGAGTCTTGGATATGTCAAAGATTAACAAAAAAGTTGATTTGATTGCATTATTATTTTTTACGTAGTGTCAGATACTACCTCTGGACACCTTCGTTGCCAAAAATGCCTCATTGACTTCCATTCAAACCACATTTGTTGATCTCACTGCCATTGCAGTATAAAACCATGCATTTTGTAATGTCAGCATTTCATTTAGAAGAAAAGTAGTGATAGTGAAACATTGCAAAAGATATTTACAAGAAATATACAAAAATACAAGAAAGTACAATAAGAATATGAGTTTCTGAAAATTAACTATGCACACAACGTTATAATTTAAGTGGAATATCTTTGCAGTCTTTGCAATCCATGGTTTAACTACTGATTGAAATGGAGAATTTGTTTTGCTTTGGTTGGACAAAAAGATAGAACAATTATAAATACACTGCAAAAAGTAAGTTCTAGTTTAATATGCTATTTTTAAAAAGATTGTACTCTAATATCTATTCAACAGAAGTATGATTGTGTGTTTTCTCAGAGTTTTCTAACCTCATTTATTATGAAGCAACACAACAACATGCTCATTCCTTTTATGATAACAACTGGGAAAATCCATTGGATTGAGTTCATCACAGTAAATAAGACTTGAATGAGCAGCAGTGTACTGAATCACAGAAAACCATCTGTGTTAATGTATATCTGGTGCATGTGACGACGAGCCTCGCAGCGTCACTAAAGGAGCATGGTGTGAACACAGCCCTCCTTTAACCAATCCCACGGTCAGATCATTTAACGGCTAATCTGAGATGTTTGGTGGCCAGAGGCTGGAGAGACGCCTTCAGGGAGTCACTCCCGAGTCAGTTTGTCTGACAGCCCGTGACTCCCAGCCTCCTTCAGGGCTCCGGCTTCACCACATTGTTGTTCATTCCACAAAGACCTATAGAGGAGTGCATGTAATCCAGCATGCAGTCGGCCTGGATCGTGACCTGTGTGCGGCTGCTGCTGCTTCTGCTGCTGCTTTAGATTACATGCTGAGAGCAGACAGGAGGGGAAGTCAGACAAATGAGGGTATTGTCATGTATTCTCAGAAACCAAAAGACCAAAAGTCAACAAGTTTGTTTCATTTTATTATTTATTTATGTACATATTCCCTGTCATGTCTATTTTAAGTCCCATTTATTGTTTTTATAGTGTCTTGTTGTTTTTATATTGTCTTGTTGTTTTTATATTGTCTTGTTGTTGCGTGTTGGCACCTTGAGTTTATTGTAATTTCGTTGTACCTGTACAATGAAAAAATTAAAGATCTATCGATCTATCTATTATTCCAAGCTCATTTTAGAAGTTGTGGGTGAAAAATACATCACCATAGTTCTTTTTGAAATCTTATGGCTATATGAGCAGTTAATGTCACTTTAAAAAACCTAATGTTCCAGAAAAGCACAGACGTTTGAGCAGCCTCTTCCCTTATCATTGTTTTGTATAGCATTGGTAGACACATCATTTGTTGTATGAAGCAATTAGGCAGGAGAGAGAAAACTGAGAGAAGAGGCTGACTCTCCTACACAACGATGATCCAGACCCAAACACGAAAGGATCTTACCCAAACTGTGTCTTAAATCTGGAGGCACAATAAAGTATCATTGTAGTCAGTAGCATTAAGAGTCCCTTCACTGGTACTTAAGGACGTAGGCCAAAGAACCTCCAATACTTTAGCTGAATAGTACTAGTTCCTTAGTATAATTGGTCACAGGAAGTGGAGACATTATTGTGACGAAGGGAGACCATGACACGCTTTGAGACCAGCAGCCCCTGACTCTAATTCTCCTCATGGAGTTGAGCTCCAGCATCAGCTGCCCTGCTGTCTGCTAACAGCAGCCCGAGGCCACCAGCTTTGATCTGCTGCTTAGCGCATTAAAGCCATAAAAGAGGCTGAGAGGGGTCACGCAGTGTTAACGACACGAGACACATTCCTGCTGTAGCTAGTGGCTTCTGTTAATAACACAATGTTTTTCAATCCTGCAGGTGCGAGACTGCCCTCAGACCAGTGCCACCTTCATCAGAGTTTCCAAGGAGCTGAAGAACAGAGACGAGTACAACCAGGTCCTCTTCTCTGGCTTCTGTCGGAAGGTACAGAACGTGGGGAAAAGAAAACGCTGAAATGAAAATGTTCTCACTTGCCATGTTCTCCGTTTTCCACCCACTCACTCCCCTTCTTCTCTTTTGTGCCGCTCGAGAGCTCATGTCCTAGCGTTGCATGCAACCCTCTCAGACAGGAGTATAAAGACATGAGATTTTTAAATATAATCAGAGGGTTAATCAGGAGCTATAATTCACTCCTACAATTTTCTTTTAAAAGTGTTTCGACTCAACTTAATGGAGTCGGATGAGGCCTTGCTTCTTATTTCACCTCATGATGAACTCTTATCAAGTCTCTGTGGATAGTAAAGGCCATATTTCCCTTATCAGGGATGGTAGAGAAACTCTAAAAGCTTTAGACAAAGTATATTAGACGATATGAAGGCTTTGATAGAGAAAAATAAAACAACCACCAACAATGACAAGCCCCAAGAGCCTTTGTCTTTTATCTGCATTTGTTTTGTTTGGTGTGTGTCGCTCGTTTGTTGCTCCACAAGGAAAACCAACACGTGTTTGAAGTGACAGTAAAAAGATCCTACAAGTTGCAAAAGTAAATAAAAACCTCTTCTGTCATTTTCCGTCTCTCAGGTGAATAGATTCAACAAAAGCACGGACCGAGGACTGCTCATCACAGACAAGTGTGTGTACAAATTAGAGCCCAAGAAACAGTTCAAGGTTCTGAAGAGGCTTCCCTTAGACGATGTGAGTACTCGCATGCACGCTCTCCCACATCCATGCACCTGAACCTTCTTAAAGGGGCCCTATTATATTATATGTCCTGCCCCTATCACATAAGCGCGAGTGTTACGTAGGGATGTCATTATGTCACAGAAGTAAACAAAGGATTCAAATGGAGGCTTTCAGGCAGGGGGGAGGAGAGAAATATTCAGAACTGCAGCATTCATTCACAAAAATAGTACTCCCGTAAATTCAAACTAACAAAGTTAAATTACATTTGTAAATAGATTTTTGGCAGATATTTCAATTCCAGATTTAGGCCTAGGCAGCGGTGGGGGAGAAGGAGTTGCTCATCGAGTTAGGCGTTAACATTCTTTGTTAAATACGTTTACTATAAATACAAGTGTAATTCACATGTTATTTGCTCAACAAATGTCGTATTGTGGGTTGTTTTTATAGATGTATCACTGGTACTACTGCACCATGTATGTATCAAAGACAAACTTTATGAATTCCCTAGGAGAATTTCAGTTTGCACTCAGTTGGTAAAGAGTTGATAAACTCATATGCAAAAACCTGTACACACTACAACCTAAATACACACATACACACATTCTCATGCAATTTGGGGGTTGGGTGCCCTCCCCAGCTATCCAGCTATACTCAGTTATTATTTATTGTATATTTTCCATTTGAACTGGTGACTATCAAGCAGTGACCATCAAGTACCCAAGCCAAGCCCCTAAGGACTGAGCTACTGCCTGACCCTTCTCAAACATTTTGCTGTCACAATCATCGACAGGCGGTTGATATGAAACAGTAGTCAGATGGAACAGATCTGTTCTCTACTGAATGTACAATGTATACTCAATAAAGGTTAAAGATCAACAACACCTACAAAATGAGTCAGCAGCACAGCTGGACATCCAGCAGTGGTTTCAGAGAGAGCTCACTGCGTGCTAGAGGGTTAAAAATCATCAGTATGCAGCAGCAGCAGCGAGCAGCTAAAGATAGCTGATGACATTAAGCTCTGCTGCTCACAGTGAACCATACGACTGTTTCCAGGTCAGAAGCAGAGGCTAGAGAAGAAGCTGCTCTGCCCTCACTGTGTCACCAGACTCTCTGTACAGAGGCATTAAGGTTAACACATTCAAACATATGATAAAGTAAACATTACATTTGAACAGAAAAACATTGAACTGCCATAACACTATTTGTTACATCGGAAATCTGAAACAGCACAGAAATGATCCATTACCATAATCTGCATGAAGACTGGGGGATGTTAAACATTGATCCCCTTTCAGCTGTACTTCGACTTCTCTTCAGAGTCTTTGTTGTGTCCTCATCTGTCTCTGTGTCTCTCCACAGTTGACAGGATTGAGTGTGACCAGCGGGGCTGACCAGATGGTGGCGCTGCACACGACCTCCCAGGATGACGTCCTGCTGTGTCTGCAGCGAGGGGAGCTGTGCTCCAACCAGGACCGAGTGGGGGAGCTGGTGGGAGCGCTGGTGGATCATTTCACACGGTCAGTTTATAGTTTACGTGATAATAGTGATGAGATACCAATTTAAATTGCCCCAAATGTAACACAACTTTAAAAAACAGTCATAGTAGTTATTTTGACATTTGTGCATGCTCTAAGACAAATACATTTTATGATTTTCACCCACTCATTGGTAGGGATGGGTATCGTTAAGGTTTTAACGGTACTACTACTTTTATCGATACCGCTTATCGGTCCGGTCTTTTAACAGTACTCTTATCGGTTCTTTTGTAGAAAAAAAAGGTAAACTAACTAAAAAAATTGTGAACAAAACTAACATTGCTTTTTATTTAAATAAAATAAATAATATTTCACATCAAAGGAAACAACAATGTTTTAACAAATCATATTAAATAATCTGATGACAGAACTGTAAACAGAATAGCTGAAACTTTAACAAAATAAATAACTCAGTTACCTCTAATCATTAGCCCATGTTTGTATAATTGTGTTAACTCCGTGTGTTGCTGCTAGCATACGTAACACCTGACGTGGAAAAGTTACTCGTGGATGGGGGGGCTACAGAGGTACTAGAAAGACAGTCGAACCCGGTGCATTTCTCCGTCTGAATGTGGTGCACTTTTGCTAAATGTTTAGACAAATTGCTCGTGTTACCGCCCTTACATGCTAAACTCTTACTGCGCTTTTGGTAACGAGCATTGTCCACATCGTGTGTGTGTGTGTGTGTGTGTGCTGCTGCATGTAGCAACCGTGTGTGTGTAAACTGCCCCGCCCCCTCGCAAGCAGGCGGGGGAGAGAGATCGAAAATACTAAAAATAATCATAGAAGCATTTTGCAGTCTTTTTGCGTATTAGAAACGGAGTTGGCGATACTGAAACTGCAATATAATGTTTGTGTAGCAATAATACATAAAACATATATTTTTTACATGTCTCCAGTAGCCTACCGATAAAAACACCGTCGGAGTTTAACGGTACCACGGTCTTTAATAATTCAGCCCCGGGGCCGTTTAATACCGGGGCTCGGTACCCATCCATACTCATTGGGTTAGATTTGAGCTGTTTGATTGAAATTAAAAAGGAATGAAAAACAACAGAAAATTGCAATCACCCTCTTTGATGTCAAAAAGAAACATTAGATCAAACTTAAAACTATAACTACTACTCCAGTTGTGAATTAATAAACAATTTCAAACTTTAACCACACATATGCATCAGCGTAACTAGCTAGAATTTGGTTCACGATAAAAATATTCAAAAAAATAAACAATGGTTCTGACTGTAAAAAGCTCTTTTACGGTGATTCCCTCTTTTCTTATTGTTTTGGCTAAGAGCCCCCTAGTGGCAGAAAATGACACAGAGAACACATAAATATTCCTCTGAAAACATTGTACATTTCTTTCACTTTTCATAATTTGTAGATATCTACAGGTTATACTACAGTAGTTGCCAGGCTGTCTCGATAGCTTATTAGGGTCAGCTTAGCAAGTTTTTGAAACACTTCATACACAAATATGTTGTTGCTTTTTATGATCACTTGTTCTCTAATATTGGATAGCTTTTCATCAAACACTACAGCAGCAGATTTATCTTATTACAAATCTTTGAACAGAGTGGACAAATGAAGTGATTGTTGGAAGAGATGACACGCAGCCTGTCGGGGTCTCAGTGTCACACGAATAACCAGCACAGCATCCGACTAAGCGCTTTCTGGTTGAACCGAGTCCATTAATGCAGAATAAGAATTCCGCAAATCAAACTCTTGGCATTCATCACTGTCATAGTTGTCGGTGTCCGCGCCCAGCTCTGAATAACTGCTGTGAAATGAATCCGTCACGCTGACATTTATCACATTCATCACTCAGATCCTGAGTTGTCATCACTGTTAATAAACCTGACTCACATCCATCTCTTCCAGACTTCATCTGAATGGCACAAGTCTTCACACTGAGCAGCCTGTTTTGGTTGTAGTGTGTGTGTGTTTTTGTGTATTAGTTTGTGTGTGTTGTTGTGAGTGGGACAGCAGCCAGTCTGCAGTGATTGGTCAAGTATCAATCCACCAAATATTGCCAGGACAACGTATGACGTAAATATATAAAACAAATTGTAACAAACCCAAAGTGTGGCTCAAGCTCATCTGGTGAAAATGATGTTTGATATGACGTAAATCCATAAAACATTGTATACATCTTCAATGTTTAAACTCATTACTTTTGAGGTTATTATTTTTAAAAAAATGGGGCCTCAAAAAAGTCCACTTACTTCTGAAGCCTCTTAAGTTTGATACATAATTGCCTTGGTAACATGACAACAGATGAAAGCGTCTGGGTTTATTTGTTTATTTGGATCTCTTCTAGCTCAAGGCCTGCCTCCCATGGGTCCATATTCAAATCAATATGTATAAGCAAACACATGGTTATAAATACTTAAACACACTCAATTATACATAACCCTTCACAGCTACGTTTTGCACTTCGTATATTTACACACATACATTTGTACCTGGTGTAACATATATACAGTCTATGGCTGTAACGCACACTGCAAGAATATACAAATATTTAACTGTTTATTTGTATTATTTAATCATGAAAATGTGATTAAAGTTTGAAGTTGTTTGAAATGTAAACACACTAGTTGAATTGATAATAGAAGGTCTCTAGCTTACAGTTATTTGTATTGTAGTAACATTATACATTTTCATAAAACAAATGTACTGAATTAAATATACATGTTTATTATTGATGGATCCAAAGATTATTTTCTAGATTCATTGTTTTGTGTATAAACTGTCCGAAAAGAGTCAAATACAATTTAGAAAATGATTGACAGATGATAAACAACTGCAGGTATAGCAGCAGAACTCAGTTGCCAGTTTATTAGCTACACAGCAAGCCCACAGGAAGTGCGCCAGACTCTGAGGAAAATATTAGTTGTGGCCAAACGGCGGTACTACACTTCTGTATGGGTCGCTGGGCCCGGAAACACTTTTTCCCATTGACTTACATTGGGAAAGAGTGGTCTGTAAATCGTTGGATAATTTTTTCAAAGAACGAGACCCCGTCTCTCACGCTGTATCCAGTTCTTATTATACATCCATGGTACACAGTCCTGAAATCTATCCGACATTCATATTCATTTTTAATTGGCTGACAAAAAAGTAATGCACACAGCTGGGGCCTGAGGGTTTGTTGAGGTTCAGGGACTATCTCTGTTGGCACCTTTTGCCTTTTCATAATTGTAAGTGTTTGGTCAGTCAATTTGAAATAACTACGTTAGCTAGCTAGCTTACAACAGATCTGGAATACCGTCGTCATGCAATCCCATTGTAAAAATAAGCCAAAGAACTGTATATTTTTGACGAATTGTATTGACATTTGGCCAACTTTATAATCCCAGAACGTCAACAAGCACTATGATTCCAGCAGTGTGCATCACTTTTCTAGTATCCCTGTTTCCGGTTTGTTTTGACACTGTTTTGTATTTGCAGCGTTTCTTTATGCAGCGCTTTTAGTAAACACTGCTAATTGTCACGATTCTCATGTCATGTCACGTCTCTATGTCTAGGTTTTTTTTTGTTGCTGTTCTCCCTGTCATGTTTTCCTCTTGGTTTATTGTCTGGTCCTTTTCCCTGTGTTTTTCCTCCTGTGGCCCTTGTGTTTCTCCTCCCCTGCTAGGCTGTTTCTCGTCTTGTGATTACCCCTCCCTGTATATAGTCTTGTCCAGTGGCGGCTGGTGGAAATTATTTTAGGTGGGGCTATTGTAATGGTGAATAAACCACACGGGGAACATTTTGAGAAATTACCCCTGTAAATTAAATTGGCTACACTATTTCATCGTTGCTGTTGTATGATTGGTGTTTAGCTACGGTATTTAGCGTCTACAGCACCTCCGCTTTTAGGGTTGACGTGGACCCAAACGTCGCCCGGAGGTCCCCCGGTGTTGTTGCGGGAGCTGCTGCACTAGCTAGGTTACTAGCTGGGTGTTCTCCAATAAGGGGCCGGGGGAAACAAAGTTAGTGATTACTGGTTCCATGTTGATTTAATTCAATACAAGTTGTTGGGGGGAACTGAAAGGCTATTACCGTACTGGTTACTTTGCAGCCCGGACATTTCCCCCAAAACACATTTAGACGCTATCGCAACACAGAAGTACCTTTCAAATCCAATAATTTCTAAATCATATTTAAGACCTTTCTTATTTTTAGGGCCTTACATTCAGATTATCAAATGTAAGACTTTTTAAGACAATTTAAAATTTAAAAAAAATATGAAAAAAAAAATATATATATTATTATTACTTTTTTTTATTTAAATTTTTTTTATTTAAATTTGTAATGTGGGAAGAGGTGGGGCGGCGCCCGTAGCGCCCCTATGGGCTGTTATCCCTGTCATGTTTTCCTCTTGGTATATTGTCTGGTCCTTTTCCCTGTGTTTTTCCTCCTGTCGTTAGTTTCCCTGGTATGTCTAGTTGTCTGATTGTGTTCACCTGTGGCCCTTGTGTTTCTCCTCCCCTGCCCGGCTGTTTCTCGTCTTGTGATTACCCCTCCCTGTATATAGTCTTGTCTCTTCCTGTGTTCAGTATTGGTTCGCCTTTTGTTTGTGACCTAGTTCACCATGGAGTGTTTGGTTTGTCCATGTTTGATATTAGCCCTTGAAATAAAGGAATTATCAGTGTTATCTGCGTTTGGGTCCTACCTGCTTCGCTCCTCTTATCACTAATGTTTTGTCAAGTTGGAAAAGGTTTTTTAAATGCTGAGTACAGTATGTGTTGTCAAGTTGGTGAAGATGTTTCTTCATTTGCACGTATTTTGGCACATTTCTGTTACTATATTTATATCGTTTTTGAAAGTGCAGCGCGTTTCTCCTAATGGAAATGTCTTTGGCTGTTGTAGCGTGTTTGCTCCGTATAAATGCATATAAATGTTTCGTAAAATCAATGAATTGCTATTTTCAAATATATCTAGGCTAAAATGACAATACACACTTCATGTTTTCTTTGAATACATGACCTTAGTTCAAA